CGGGAAGGGAAGAGCCGAGCCCGGCAGAGCCGAGCCCGGCCTCACGCTGCGGATGTCCGGCACCGAGAGGCAGCGTTGCTGCCTTCCTCCAGCCCGCATCCACCGCGGGGCTGCGGGCTGCCCGGCCCGGCGGCGGGGGCTGGGCGGCAGGCGGGGGCCGGGCACGTCGGGGTGCGCCGCGGGCGCAGGTACCGCCGGCCGCCTCGCCGGAGAGGGACGGGACTCTCCTAACCCCCGGCCACCAAACCCCCAAAGCACCCGCCGGCTCTCGAGCAATTTCCTTCGCACCAAAAAGCGGAGAAAACGGAAAACAACCGGCGGGGCGGCGGGCGAGCCCGTGTCCGGCCCGGCGGGATAGCCCGCTCCGTCGGCAGCACCTGCACGGCCCGCCCGGCCGCCGGCCGCTCTGCCCCGGCCGTCGGGGAAGGTCGCCCCTGTTCCCCTCCCTGCCCCGGCGAGCGTCGGGCGCTACTCACCGCCCGGCACCGGCCCCTCGGAGCGCCGCGGTGTCCCCCGGGCCCTTCCTCCGCATAGGCGCGGGGCGAGGCGGCGCTCCCGCCCCGCGGGGCCCGGCCCGGTGCCGGTCGCAGCCCCGGTGCCGGTCGCAGCCCCGGTGCCGGTCCCTTCGGGCTGGTGGCCGCACCGAGGTCCCGGGGGGGAATGCCCCGACGGGGCGGGCGGAGCCGTGGGGCGCGCCGGTGGCTACCGCCGCGCCGGGGGGTGCATAACCCGAGCGATGCGCGGAGAGTCGGAGTGAGCAAGCGGGTTATATATAGCTGCCCCGTCTGTAGCCTGCGGGGCTTGATTCTTCTGTTGAAATATTATCTTTGGATGTGGTAAAAATATTTGCAGAGAAAAATCTAGACGACTCTTACATATTTGAGCATATGTTCCTGCAGCTAACGGCATAAGGGCAGAGCGTGACACCATCGGGGTTCAGTTTCTTCCCCGCCGCCGGCAGCGCCGTTCCCGGCCGGGGCAGGGTCTACCCCGAGCTCGGGGACGCGCCACGGGGAAGCGTGTCCCGGTGCTGACCCGCGCCGCTCACCTGGCGGCCATACAAGGAGGAGGGGAAGGGATTTCGTTAGGGGATCTCGGGGAGACACCGGAGGGAAGGGAAGGAGCCGCGGGTGCGAGCTGCAAACTGCCCCCGGGAGCGCAGGGGCTGGTGAGGGCGGGACGCGGGGCTCCGTCCCTTCCCCGAGGTTGTGCCCGGCTCTGGGCGGCCTCTGTCCCGGCGGGAAAGAAAATATTCCCCCCTGAAAACTAGGAAAAGCCACGAATCCAGCGCCCAGCAGAGTCGGGAGCTCGGGGCTGCCGCCCTTGCCTCGCTTGCCCGCACCTTTTCCCAGGTTTATCCCTTTCTCCTTCCCCGCTCCTTCGGCAAAGCCCCGGCTGGAACCGGCGACACGTCGGGGACAGCCCGGGCGCGGGAGGGGCTCTCGGCCTGTCCACCCGCCGGCGGGCCGG